CGATTGTTCCTCCATGTCCTCCTTGATGGCATAAAACTGTTTTTCTTCAAAATTGGGTTTTCTTAATGCCCAATATTTTGCAATAATTAATTCTTGGACTTGGGTTATAGGCAGAAAATGCAATTGTCTGGTGAGATTTATTAAATTTAAGGCAGGCAATGTTTAAGGGAACTCTCATAGCCTCACCCCCCATGTTTTCTGATAATTTAATATACAAAGGACATGCAACCTGAGTTGGTGAGAAGTTGTAGAGAAATCTAATTTGGGAAATTACCTAACCCAGGAATTTCAAATTAGTACATGGGAGGAAATGAAATTTTATTTTAGGAGATTGAGAACTTCAAATTAGTATATGGGAGGAAATGAAATTTTATTTTAGAAGTTTGAATTCACCCCACTTTCCCTCAGGAATATTATTCTAAAATTTTTATATTAACCTTCCTTTCAATATAGCTTTATAAATATACTATTACCCTCCACTAATGTTAGATAAATAGGGAGAACATTAACTTTTCTAGGCCACTTAGGAACTCTTTAGAGTCTGGAACATCCTGAAGACTCATAATTTCCTGTAAATTTTTCTAGTTCATGATCTGCTTAATAGTAATGTACAAGACATCAAAATGTTGTCGGGAAAAGCTTCCTCACTCCCTTCCAGGAGTGTAATGATCTCCAGTCAGAGCATAGTTTTCAGCTGAGATCATGTAATCCTGCGCAATAAATCTTTGTTTTGGGTCCATTAAAGAGATTGATGAGCATGCCATTCATTGTTCATCTGTCAGCTGTAAGCTAATACACACTAATTGTTTAAAACCTTGTTTATTGTCGAGTGCCAAGACAGCTCCCAGTGTTTCCTAAATAACTGAGCTTACTTTAGTCACATTCATAACTCATTACCTTACTATAATAATTTAACCTAGCTGCCCCTACCATTGCTAAAGCATATAACTTTTTATCACACTTTAGGGAAAATCAAAACTACATTTAGGAAAAAACAAACCAATAAAAGGAACCATATTAAAGTAAACTCCAGTATTAGGTCAGTCATTACCTTGATTTATGGGTTTTCGTGAGTTATATATGTATATAGGAAGATGTTATATTCTAAATATTTAAAATGTTATTCTGAGTTTCATGTATAAAGTATACTTTTCCTATTATTTCTTACTTTACAAGTTTCTTGTTCTGTTTATTGTGTGTGTCTGTTTGCAATGAAAACTTCCCTAAGGTACACATGCTCAGTTGCCTGAAGTAGACAAATACTCTTGGGGGCAAGACACAGAACCATCAGTTAAACCTTTTAGCTAATTTGTATTCTTTATATAAACTGCCCCAGTCATTGTCTTTTTATTTAATGACCTGGTTTAGACAATGGAAATGAGCAACTGCTGTGCGCTAAACAAATTACTGGGTATTTTGAATACATTATTTTTCTTACTCCTTAAGAATCCTTAAAATGGAATTTTTTTTAAATAAATTTTATTTTTATAGTTCCCATACAATTGCAACCCCCTTATTTTGACTCCAATCCCTCCCCTCTCCACCTCCCACCCTCCCTTAAAATGGAATTTATCCTTAGTTTGCTGATAGTAAAGATAAACTTCAGAGTTAATTTAATTAAATTAAAATCATCTCAAATTGATTTAATTAAATTATTAATTATTATTAATAATTATTTATCATTATTATTTAGGTGCTTAAAGAATTACAAAGATAAAGAAAATATTGTCCTGGCTTTTAGGAACTTATATTCTAATAGAGCGTTTGCAGATTAAACATGAACACATGCATACACACACACACACACACACACACACATACCCTGTAACATCAGGGAGCTTGTAATGTTTTATAACCAGTGTAAAATTTTAGTGTGCTGAATCTTATCTTTCCTTAAATATTGCACATCCAGTCATCTAAGACTGAGAAATCTCAGCCAAAGATATGTGCAGTGCATGCCATGTGTGTTAAAAAAAAACACGCCTTAAGCCTTAAGCTAGCCTGTATCAATCATAAAGACAGGATCAAAAGTCATGATGCCCTAAAAAACAAAACTAAATATACAAAGTCAGAATTCTAACTACTGTAATTCAAAAGTCAAGGAAGCAGTTAGGATTCAGAGATGAAAGTAAAACACCAACCAGACAATAGCTAGTCAGGGGCAACATTGGGCAAACAGCTACCAGGAGGCTTTGGCTAGAAAAATAAAGTAGCAGGAGACTAATATTACAAGTGAGTAATCTATTATGTCAACCAAGGAGTGTATCCACGTTCTGCTGAGATAAAGCTATCTTCGTCTTGCAAAAGCTGGAAATCAGTAATTCCCTATAACATGATGGGATATGAAGGAATTTGGCTAAATGAGGAAGGTAAAGCCTGAGAACATAGTAGGAATCAGTGGGAAAGTTTGGTAGGACATTTTAATTTTGCTTTATAAGCATATTTACTGAAGTGCATCTATTGGCTAGGTGTAGAAATAATGATATTTTTATTGTAACTTAGAGCTTTTTAAATGATTTATTGTTGGGTGTTTATACCTTATATTCCTTTCAGTAAAGATATTCCTGGAACTCAGTCAACATTCAGCTACTATCTAATCATCATCATCATCATCATCACCATCTTTGTCATTACTAAACACTTGTTATGTGGCAGATACTGTGCCAGGTGCTTTATGTGCCTTATCTTCTTTAATCCTTGCAGCAATCCTAGGGAATGGGTACAATTGTTATATGCATTTAATAGGTAAAAAATAGAACTCATAGAAGCAATTGGCCCAAGATCACAAACCTATTAAATTGTGTAGCCAGGATTCAGAGCAGTGATTCAGTTCACTTTAGAGTATGTGCTCTTAATGATTACATTATTACCCTTACTACCTCCTAGAGTTAAATTTAATCATTTTTCATTTGAATTTGGTGATCATATGTGCAAAACAAATATATATGTAATAACAAAACTTTCATCCAATGATACATTATTTTTAGAACTATAATAGCAGATGCTTCCCTTTTTATTATAAATTGTGAGAATGAAAAAAATAGAATGAAGAAAGATATATTATACAAATATAATACAGTATCTCTTAAACAATTTAATAGTTTGAAAATTTTCTTAAAAGATTCATTTTCCATATAAATGTCCAAAAAGTATTAATAAAATGAAAGATTTCCATTTATGTCTTAATTTGAGAGTGAATTTACTTTTAATAAAACTGGTGAAACATACATAAATATACAGTAGTATATATATATATGTGAATATATATGTATTTGCGTGTACAATATTACTGGCTCACATAGATAGGTTTGTATCCAAACCCATAGAAATGCTTTTCTGGGCAATAGCTAAAGAAAAACATTGTCATTTAAAGTAAGTAGTTTTGGTATTTTAAAATGTCTTTCTTTTCAAGAAGAATATCATGGGCTAAATGTTCACCAAATAAATTGTCTATAAATAAATAATCTTCCTTTTAAAATTAAACATGAGGGCTCTACTTAAGTTGATATGAAAAGGGGGCAGAGTGATTTTTTTGAAGAATTTAATTGTATTATTTTCAATAACTGAGTTATAAAGTGGAAAGCTAAAATGGACTAAGAAAAGCCAATATCTCACCTAACCTGAATGATTTCTAGTTAAAGATTTGATTACTTTTATTTCACGGAGCCTTAAATAACCCCTTTATTTTGTATTCGAGGAAAAAGATCAATTATCAAAAATATGGATAATGGGAGATCCTGCAATAAAAACAGATCATTTGAATCTGATCTAATGTTTATACTACACACCATTGCTATTCAATGTATCTTAGGCAAAATGTTTATAGCTACCTAATATTTGCAGTGAATTTTATTTATATGGGACTATTCTTTGGTTATATTTTTTAAGTCATAATAAACTGTTTATATAAGATAATCATCTTTCTAAAAGGTCTTGTGAAATTTGCCAGTACCTATGATCAGAAAAATCACCATTATATAATTAACTAGATAGATTTGTTTCAGCGTTAAGTTTGACATGCATATAAATAAAGAAAAATCTATTAGCAGGTATTCTCTTAACCCAGGGAGTAATCAAGTGGTAATGACACAGTAACAATACTGGCTGCATTTATTTACATTATGCCAGATACCATGTATTATTTCTCATTTCAAAACAACCCTGCAAGGAAGATACTGTTATTCCTATTATTTTGTAAACAGACTTTTAAATGTTAAATAATTCACTCAAGTTTATTCAACTAGTAAGAGTTTTCCTTATTTCAGGTTTTCCAGGCTCCAAAGTCTGTTCTTTTTTGCATCCCAGATGTCACTAAATGTTTATGGTGGTTTTCAATTTACCAGAATATTTTAACACCCAGAATTCCCTGCACCCTGGCTGTGCCAGATAACTGATTGTTTCACTTCCAGGAAGTTTGAACTATTGTAAATAATAATGACTTTTTCTAGTATTTCTAGGATTCATCATAATTCCAGCAACCATTCAGAAATGAAACTTTCTCTTTTCTCTTGGTTTTCCTTAAAAATAAAAGTTAGTGTTTTAATAATTAGAATTTGTATTACCTCTAGGTTTCAGTGAAGCATAATGGATTAAAGAGAAATTGCTGGCTACTAGAATTGGTTTTTATAAGTTACACTGGCAACTTTATCATACTTTTTTCAGAAATAAAAAATCCTACTTCTTAATATTAAGCCAAATGTTTATTTCCCAGATTTTACCTAAATGTTCTTCCCTGAGGCCATTGCTATTGTGAAACTATTTTAATGGCCTTCTTTGGGGTGTGGTGAGATGCTCTAATTGCCTTTGCTAAAAACAAGAGTTTCATATAAATTGAATTTTTCTTTTAGGATAATTGCCATTCACTTTTGTTTTATATGCAACTGAGTAGAGTTTTGCAGTATCCTCTGTGGACAATTAAAGTGCTGAAATAGGAGAAGCTAATAATTGCTTTGTATGGTAATACTGACAACTTCTGCGTATTTGTCAATCTGTGTTAACAGTATCGATCAGGATGGGATCCTCATAGAGGGGCAGATAATATTTCCACTAAATCTTCGGACAGTGATGTAAGTGATATATCTGCGGTTTCAAGGACTAGTAGTGCTTCTCGTTTCAGCAGCACAAGCTACATGTCTGTCCAATCAGAACGGCCAAGAGGAAACAAGAAAATAAGGTGAGTAAGGGGTCTTCAGCAGGAAACTCCTTTCAATAAAATTTAGATGGTCTTATTTTTATTTAGATAAATATCAAACCCTTTATTTAATATATGTCATTAAGGAGATGAGAACTTCTGTTCATATTAATTCTTACTGTATTTTGGTCCACATTTCAAACTTATTACACAGGAAAGTTTCCTAGAACTGATAATCATTTTCTTGCTGGAGTACTTGAATAAATATCGCTAGTTATTATTTTATGTTTTCTATTTAAAAAATAATTCTGTCATTGTATCATTACTGAAATTAAAGTGAAAGTTAAGTGAAGAGTTTTATTTCTGAATGTTCCAAGGAATATACAAAAGTAATATTTTAGAGGGGTTTTAGCTGAATACTTTTCAGAGAAATTCAGAAAGCATACCAGTATTTCCTTTGAGTACAATATACCCCCATCCTTCTGAAACTTATATGAAGGCATGGAAAAGAAAATTTATAAGTATATTTTATAAGTTAATAGAATTTGCATTTATTATATGACCTATAAATGTATGGGTACCTGAATTAAATTATTTTCCTTCTTTTGGATCCAACAAAGTCTGTAATAGAGAGATCACAGCATTTTTCCATGCAGCTTTTTAACATGAAAATAAGATTTAAAAACAATTTAAGTTTTGTTTGCACAGGGTTTCTCTGGTATACACTGGAAAAAAGTTTTCAACATTTAAAGGTGTCATTTTTATGTTTTCATTACCTTTCTGTTTAACTTCATGTGCATTTTTCTTGACCTTTTCTTTTTTATGTGTTTATTTGCATGCCTTCCATTTGTGTTGCATTCAAAAGACCAAAGGGAGTAGAAGAGGGTGGGACAGATGGGGATAAGCATGAAGAGATAGTGCACGAGGAGGAAGAGGCAAAGGAAGAAAGAATTGGGAATGGGAAAGGGAAAGAGATTATAAAAACATCTAATAAGGAGAAAACCAAAGAATCAGGAGGTGAGGAAAAAGCACAAGATGTACCTGAGCAAGGCAATAAAGAGGATTTACAAAGGCGATTCTCACATGATGATGACAGGTAAAATATGCTTGTTCTGATAGACACTTCCCATTAGTACTGTGTTTCTTTTTCCTACTCCTAAAATCTGTTTTTCCCACTTATATTTGGTTTATTATCTTGTGTTTTGTCTATTTAGCTTCTGATACAACTTAGTAATATGTTGGCAAATCTTAAAATAATTTGTTAAAGCCATTGTATCTAGGAGCTCTGAAAGTTTGATTTACTTCGTTTTCAAGTCCTTTGTGATTAGCTGAATAAAATTTACCTTAAATTCTTTTAGTATAAATTATATAGCTTCCTCATTTTTAGAATCAAAATCTTTAAAATGAGGTTCTGAAAGGGCTAAAAAAAATTAGCCTACTTTGTAAGGAATATTGCATACTGGACATGAACTTTAAAAATGAGTGACAGAATAGCTAGCAAAGAGTAAGCTTTTTTCCATCTCTGGTTCCCTTGTCTCTTAGTTTTCTGGTAGATTCTAGTGTACTTTAGAGTCCTGAAGAAGCTTACGAAGTGGGGACGGTACTTTTTGATGTGCTGAAAAGAAAGGGTATCTGAGCCAGTTATCACTAGAAGGTGAACTTGTTGGGTTAGGCCCTCTAGAAATTCATTCAGCTAGAGAAATTGCTGGAGAAGGAACTTTGAGCAGAGGAAAAAGGCAGGGGAAAAACATAAGCAGCAAGGCAAAAAAAACTGTTCAGTTTTCATTGTTGTAATGCAAGGCACTAAGTCTGAAGCTGTCTTTAAAGCGCTGTGCTGAAAGTCATTATCAGCCCAAGTACACAGAAAGACATCAGCTTCTGCCTAAGGAGATGAGGCTTCTCTAATTTCTTTTATCTGAGACTGAGAATTACAAATCATGTACATTTTGGGGGAATTGGATTTTCTAGTACTCAGTCCAGAACTTGATTTTGTGCTAATCCTAAGTCTGCTTGATAATCATGCCGTATTACAAGCCAAATCTTTTACTCTCATATCTAAAACCAATCTCAGTTTCTGCATTACTCATATTTAACAAGAAGGATATTGGGAAAGATGTTTACCCCTTGAGTATACGAAGTTTAGTCAATGGCACTTAATTTTTTGTCTTAGATTGGTCTATTTACTTAACTATATTAGTGTCTACAAAAGTTTCTGTACACAGACATGAATCCTAAAAATAAATCTTAAGTTAGGCATTTTTTTTTTTTGAGTGTCATACTATTCTTCATGAAGAGAACACATTATTTTACAGGGAAAAGGGAAAGATGCATATTCCTAGCAATCTGAATCTTCAAGGCACTGTACTCAGCTTAAATAACTAGAATATTTATGGAACTGTAATCTAAAGAAGGCCAGACTGATCTCTCCAGGAAACCTGTATTCCATGAGATAGCAAGAAATGCCAACCGTGATTATTTAGAAGAAAATATGGGTGTCCCTCATTAATGTGCATAGAAACTTGAATTTGCTTTTATTTCTTAGAATAAAACTAACAGTATTTACTTTGAGAGAAAATATGGCTGAGGACTCCCAGCAATGCTTGTTTTAGTAGCTTGTAGGTACAATCATAGATTGTTTAATGCTCACACAATTTATGTGCTTATCCAACATTTTTGGAAATAATCTTACTTATAAGCCACCATTGATGTTTCATGCCTTTCATTTATAATCCAAGTTTTATAAAGGAAAGAAAATCTCTGACTTCAAAGTTTAAATATTTATAGCAATGCTAGTACTTAAAATAGTGACTACAGTGAAATAGTTGCTATTTTCATTATAGTAATTGGGTCTCGTCTCTTGATACAGAATTATGTTCTTTGTGTTACAAGTCATATTAAACAACATCTTCTGAAGCAGAAAAGAAAAAATGTTCATTAAGTATTTGACTAGAAATTTTAATCTGATTAGTAAATAATGCATTCAGGCTCGGCTATGTTTATGCACATGTATATAGATCTGGTAAAATGCCCCTATATCTTAATGATTATTTGGTAGACACTAGAACATTCAGTGTTTGCCATTGAAATATTTATCTTCATTTTATAGAATCTGTGTTTTATATTTTATATCTATATTTGCTGATTTTGGTCATATAATGGTAGCTGCCCCCTAGAAAGTATTGAGAAATAAGAAGAAATGATTCATTCAACCAATATTCAGCCAGTGATTTTTATGTCTAATGTAATTTGATGCATACAGCATATTTATGCCTGTTACAGATGTTTGAAGGGGAAACAGTATGTTTCATTAAAATAATTTCAGATTAGTAAAATAATTGGATTCTCATCCTGACTCTCATAATTTATCTACCCACTATCTGCCTGGGCATTTTAGCTTGTCAAGTAAAGGAGTGGATAATTTGTACTCTCTTGTAGTTTAAATGAACATAGTATACAGAAAACAGGAGAGTAAACATTGTCTATAATACTGATGAATAGTGTTATAATGAACTCAAGATATAGTTGGTGTCATGACTAAGCACTAGTAGAACAGACAGCTCAATGTAACTTTATATCATTTGACAGATGTTTCCAGAATTAAGTGGCCAGTATTTAATACTCCATTGATCAAGATGAGTGTTTCTGTTTTTCTGTAAGTAGGTTTCAGTGCTAATTCACCTGAAAGGGCATACTGATGACAACAGTCGCCACTGATGTATTGTTGGTGGCTTGTGTTTTTTTTTTTTTCTTTCTCATTGAGACTGTCTTCTGTTAATACCACTAAAATCTTGCAAGTCCAAGTAACTTCCTTCTACTCTGTTTATGATGATTCATAAGAAAAACCTTTTTTAAAATATTGAACATCACTCTTAGATTTGTGAGTCTATAAACTTGGGGAGGTCCTCAGCAATTTGTATTTTTTTAAAAAATCATCCCAGGTGATATGATATGGGTGATTATTACCCTATCCATGTTCTCTTTGGGGTTGTTTGTATTTATTTTTTTAAAGATTTTTTTATTTATGCATACAAGAATAGGGGTACAGGCCAGAGATGTGGGGGGTGAGAGGATTCACCAGAGACAGAGGGGAACAAAACAGGCAGATCGAATGAAATACACTGCTGAGGGGAACAGCGGCTGAGTCAGGAGAGGTCTGCTGCACCAGGTGGTTTGCTTCTCAGGCTGGGGATCAAACTCGTGCCGCAGTGGCTACACTCAGCCTCATGGGTTGTGTCTTAACCCCTTGTGCTACCAGGGGGGCCCTGTTTGTATTTATTGATGAATTTTGAGATAAGCTTGTCAATTTTTGAAGGGGGAGAAAGGCAGCTGGGGTTTTGATAGGAATCGTGTCTTAGTAGATCAATTTAAGTGGTGATTTTGCCGTCTTAAAAATACCGTCTTCCAATCCATGAAGTCAAGATGTTCCATTTCTTTTTATTTTTAAGTTAATCTAGACTTCAATCTTTTAGACTTACTGGCTGTGCCCCCCTCAGGCTCTTGCTTTTATTCGTTTGTGTGTGTACTTCATGGGTTCTTGTATCTGAAATACCCAAATCAAAGATAAACTCATCCAACAGACACCTTTTCTTCAAAATCTATTTGTCTTTTATAATAACAATTCCTCTATGGTAGTCATTGTACACCCTGTGATAGTTATTTAAGAATGTGTTTAATTTACCATGCTTGACTATTGTTATTAGCCTTTTGAGAATAGTGTATCTATCATCTTTATCCTTTATTATCTTACCTCTCAATATCTGCAATACCTCACATATATTAGACACTCAGTAAAGGTTTGTGTATGAATATATGAATTAATGAGGTTGTAATAAACCATTGAAAGTTTAGAGGTGTGTGAAAAGCTTCCAAAACAATGCTTCTGGCATAATACAATATGCAGTATACTTATCTTACTCTTAATTGACAAGATTTTTAAGTAATTTAGGAGGCCATTTTTCCTAATTGTAATAAAACTATGAATTTTAGACATCAACAAAATTTCCTTCATAAGACTTTTAGAGTCCAAATACATTTCTCTTAGGTTGAAGGAATGTTGGTTGGCTTACTGATTTGATATGATAAATAGTCATTTCTCTCATCTTGGTACCTTTCAATAGCATTTTAGAAATTTATTTTATGTCATTATTTTGGGTCTCATTAGATTGGTATGAGTTTTTCTAATTTTTAAATACTGTCTAATGAACCCTTTTATTATGTTTTACTCCAACTTGTGTTAGACTTCATGCAGAATTTTTACATATAAAGTAATGTTTGTCATTGGGGAATGGCAAAATAAGAAAATTTGTAAATAAATCTTGAGGCTTTCTATCAAACTATTTTGAATAGATGATATGTAGGGTTTAATGTTGAAGTTGTCTAAGGGCAAGTGTATATGTTCAGGACATTCTATGAATTAACCATCTCTGTATATCATGAAGGATGAATTACTACTTTACATGGTCCATCTGACATATATGGAGACTTAGTGCTCCAGTCTGGCACATGGGGATTCAGTTGAGTTGTTCAGCAAATTGTGAATAAGAACTTGCTTGTTTTTTTAGTTTTTGAGAACTACATATTTCATAGAAACTTTCCTATACTGCTTTTCCAGATGACAGCTCAGAAAATGATTCATCTTGCATTTTGTATAAGAGGAATAGTTTCTGAAATACTAAAAAGATTTCATTGTAGGATAATTTCACAAAGTAATACTGTAGACATTCTAGAGAATGTTTATAAGTTTTGTTTTGTGGTTTGACATTGTTTACCTTACTTTCTCTTATAATTAAACTATTTATATTCCTTATATCACCTTAATTTATTCATCAAATATTTTTGAACATCTTCTATTTAGGAAAGATTTAGTTGGTTGGTTGACAGGAAAATAGTTAGCAAGACCTAGTCCTTCTCCTCAAAGAGCTTAAAGAGGACATAGAGAAGTAAAATAATTACAATATAGAGCAAGCTGTAAAAGATAATTGTAATGTGATTCTAAAATGATTCTTCCCCATAGTGAAACATTTTAATAAATCACTTATTTCATTTAAAGTTTTCTCTTAATTCTTACATTTATATGGAAAATTGTAATTATGACAA